CATTCACCCGTCAACTGTTTACGCGGGAGAGATCAGCAGGCAGGTCAATCTAACCTCGAATACGTGCCTGATCGAACGCGGTACGTGTTCGTCTAAATTTTGTATTTTCGATAACATGGAGCTCTTCGAGGATCCTATTTTTAAAACTAGATACTTGAAGAATAAGCTGCGTGTGAAACAATGGGAGAGCGATTTTATGGAAAAATACGGACGCAAACCTAACAAGGTACGTTGCCCCTCTCGTGCTAGCTCACGTTTCTATCGTAATCGGTACAGCTACTACAGCTGTTTGACATTTAAATGCGGCTGTCTGATGTTTTCGTATTTATATTCGCACAAGCTCTACATTAGACAGATCAAACTCAGAATTGTATAATTGCGTTTAGTTTTACGGAGATATAAATTAAAAAATTACGACTGTCGACTATCCAGGGTCTTTACATATGTTTGTTACATCATCAATGAAAATTATCGATATCGTATTATCGTGCATGTTGTATACACATATCACAGCGTTGCGGTTATATCTACCATCTCACTTTTCTGTAAATTCTAGAACGATATAAAAGTAGCAGATGTATCTATCAAGGAGGCGTACAAGATGTATTGGAAACTGAAAACACGGGCGCTCGAAGAAACTCTTACGGACATTACTTTCTGCGATGATATGCAAGACAATATCACGAATAAATCACCTCGAAAGCTGGGAACCAATCAGAAGAATCTGAGCCCAGAAAAAGCCGCAAAAGACACAGAGAACATAGATCCTCACAATAGCAAATGTTCGACAGAAATTGAAGGTTCCTTCAACCAGGTAAATTCAATGAACATTGAAGGAGCCTGGGGCAGCCATCTGAGCAAGAATAAAGAACAGGCGTCAAAGAAGAAGCCAGCCCTGCTGATTGGTAGATCCTCCTCCTTCCAACTATCCAGGAACAAGTTTGAGAGTTCGACGTTTACTAAGCGAAACCCGAGAAAATCGTTGTCATCGGCCAAAATAAGGAACAAATCCGAGAATAGTATCCTAAGCAGGTCGAGCGTCGACCGGTTGGATGCAGACAGCAAGGATGGCTTTGATGTGGTGGGTGATGAGACAAAGCCTATATTTGGCGAATCAATGAAGGTGACATTTGAGAAAAACAAGCCCGTCGTGCCACACTCCATTAATGCTGTCCAACAACTGGCCGACGGCCATGTAACTAGCGTAAGCCGTAATTTGAATCCAGGCTGGCTGGATCGATGCGCGAGAGACAGTAATTTGGAAGTGATGACGATCAACCCTCAGAGGCTGTCGGGCACTAGTGATTCTGGAATAGAGTCCATGGAATCTAGCATTTATTCTCCGAAGGACTTGGCGCCCACTGTGCATTCCGCCTCGTCGCTCCAGGTCTCTCTTTCTGATGAGGAAGATTTCATATGTAATAGTGAGTCTGAGGAAGAGCACAAGAATAATAAACGCATCAGAAACTTCAAAAAACGACTGAGCGATGAAGACGGTCGTCCCGCAAAACGACGATGTATTCGTATCGATTCCGATTCTACAATCACTGGATCTAATGACATCAATAGCGATACATTTAAGCTGACTTCCTATGCCGATAGGAGTTTTAATTTATTGCATAGAGATAAGTGTAGTAAAAACGAAATTGACAATGATAATGACAAATGTAAATTGACTAATGATGTTGATACAAGCACGAATATAGTAAACGAATCAATTAAGACTAAAAAAGATACAATTACTTTAGGTTCTTATATTGAATCAATTGATGATAATGAAAAAAAATCCAACGCAAGAAGGAAATCTTCCAGAAAAAAATCAAACTTAGAGGAAGACAAAGAACAAAGTTCAGACTCGGAAAAAAAGAAGATTCCGATATACGGCGTAGAAGCGTTGCAAACGGTTCCTCGCTTTGAGATCAAACCAACTGGAACTGGCAATCTCGTCGCGCAGTTTTCCGAATCTATTTGCATCAACGCGGAGAAGGATGGCCCGATATCCTCAACAGCAAGCACGAAATTATCCGCAAAGGAGAAGCTGGAGAAGAAAATGGCTGCCGGGACGATGAACGATAATTTCGTCAGGATAAATTTGAAGAAAAAAGTATTTGTGCGCGGTAAGAAGAGCTTTAATTTGGCCAAACATAAGAGGAATCAGTGGAAACAGAGGAAGAAGGAGTTGGCATCTAGTGAGAGCAATCTGGACGCGGCCGACTTGATTGATAAAAATGGCACGACGTGCTTCAAATGTGGCGAGTCCGGGCATTTTGCTAGGAACTGTCCAGCTTCCAGGGGCGACGATCTTATACCTTTGGAAGAAGTCGACGACTCGTCGAACTTTCCGACTCTGGAGGAAGCCGAAAAGATGGCGAATGAGAATGCCATTGTCGCTCACAGTCACAAAATTGAGCGACTTCCCGAGAGACCATCCTATTCTACCACGAAGACTTTGCAGGACGAAGAAGACATGACGAAATTACTCAGCGATGACTTTGCGGATTTCGATGAGAAGAGTGATGATACATTAACTGTAGGGCACAAAGTGCCACAGGAATTGGTGTCCAGATTATTGCTGCCTCAAATGGAAGCGATTGATCCGTTGTACGCTGCGAATGAAGATGGTAGTCTAATCGAAACTCCCATGGAAATCTTCGAGGCGTTACGCATGTTTGGTCACGAAAGCTTCAGAGCTGGCCAAGAAAAGGCAGTGATGAGAATCCTGTCTGGCCAATCTACCCTGGTGACGCTATCGACTGGCTCTGGGAAGTCTCTGTGTTATCAATTACCGGCGTATTTGTACGCTCGACGTTCTGGTTGTATCACTCTAGTAATTTCGCCTTTAGTGTCCCTGATGGACGACCAAGTGACGGGCGTACCTCAGTTTCTGTCTGCTGCATGCCTGCATACTAGCCAGACGCCGAAAGTAAGGGAACAAGTGATGCAATCGGTGAAAGATGGCAAAGTAAATATCCTCCTAGTATCACCAGAAGCGGTAGTAGCCGGCGAGAAATCCACCGGTTTCGGCGCTCTCCTCAGGCAGCTACCGCCAATCGCGTTTGCCTGCATTGATGAGGCCCACTGCATCTCTCAGTGGTCGCACAACTTCCGACCTTCTTATCTAATGGTTTGCCGGGTGTTCAAGGAAAAATTAAAGGTGAAAACGGTGTTGGGACTCACGGCGACTGCTACAAAAGCGACAGCGGAAAGTATAATAAGGCATCTAGACATACACGACGGTATGGCTGGCGTCATATCAGACATGCCCTTGCCAAGGAATCTCGTCCTAACGGTATCCAAGGACGAGTACAAGGACCAAGCTCTGATCGCGTTGTTAAAAAGCGAGAGGTTCCGCGAATGTGATTCTGTAATAGTTTACTGCATCCGTAGGGAGGAGTGTGCAAGAATCGCAGGATTGTTAAGAGTATCGCTGCAGGTAAATATTAAAACCTCTGGTCTTTCACTGCAATCGCACCGTATTATAATAGTAGAAGCAAGGAATATAAACCTTTTTGCACATGAGATGAGATAAATTAGGTTTTTTACATCACTCGCGTAAAAAGAGCTTAACCCTCCGTAGTCACACCGGGTCAATTTGACCCGAGCCTCAACTTTGGTCGTAAATATCTTGCGCGTAACTTGAAAATTGGCGGGCATGACGCCCTCTAGCTGTAGTTAAAAAAAAATTTTTTTTTAAACAAATTTTTCGCGAATTTTTTTTATATGTTGAAAATTTCTGAGGCCCTTTTTTTATAGCAATCAATTTAGCAATATCGCAAGTGCATTCGAGAATTTTTTCAACACGATCGGTGGATAAATGGTCAAATGGCGAACGGTCAAAGTTCGTCTCGGGTCAAAATGAGTGGGGCATTTTCCTTGTTTGAAAAAATAGGTGTGACTACGGAGGGTTAAGTACAATTTCTTTTGAATAGGAGATATATTTATATTAAATATCTATATTTATTGACAGGATCCGCGGAATCCTGAGAAACCGAACGTGAAGATATCCACAATAGCTGAGGCCTACCATGCCGGTATGACGCCTCACAGGCGCAAAATTGTGCAAAAGGAATTTATGAACGGGAAAATTAAAATTGTGGTTGCCACTATCGCATTCGGGATGGGCATCAATAAGCCGGACATCCGAGCCGTTATTCATTACAATATGCCTGGCACCTTCGAAGGATATGTACAAGAGGTCGGCCGTGCTGGAAGAGACAATATCGCAGCACATTGTCATTTGTTCTTGAATCCTACGGTATCGTATCTAAGATTACTCTACGAGAAACTCTACTTCTCACTCATTTCCCTTTATTAATCTAATTCATTATTCTTAAAACAGCAAGACAGCGATAAATGGGAGTTGCGTAGACACATACACGCGAATAGTGTCGACAGGCATACGATTAGACATTTACTTCAAAGAATTTTTATTCCTTGTTCTTGTGCAAAAATCAACGAGAAAAGTTCCGGCCAAAGATGTCCCGGTCACGAAGTTGCTCTTCCGATTGACGAAACTGTTCAAGCCCTTGACATCACGCAGGAAACGATTTCGACATTGTTGTGCTATCTCGAACTACACCCAAAAAAATTCGTTACCGTGCTATCATCCGTGTACATTCGAGCGCGGGTTTCAAGTTACAAAGGACCACAAGCTCTCAAACAAGCCGCACAATCTGTAAGATCTTTTTTGAAATAGTAATTTTAATAACATTAATGATAGTGATTTGTGTGATTTTTTTCTAAATTCTACAGAAAATACTCTTCTAAAAGCAGTACAATATAGAAGATTAGTAAAAAGATTTTATTATGAAAAAAGAATAATATAAAAATAAAAAATATTGGAAACGATTTTGATTTTAGTCTCCACCGCTCGCGATGGCAATAGCACTGGACACGAAAAACGGTATTTCACATGAAAAGAGTAATATCATAGAATTTCCGGTGATTGACGTTGCATCAGCTATCGGATGGGACAGCGGCGTAGTAAAAAGTCATCTTAAGAGTTTAGAATGGAAGACAGGAGGTAAGAGTCCTACATTCTTTTTACTTCAGAGAAAAATTTCCACCTTTTTTGGAACGTATTTATATATGAAATATTACATGAATGTGTTTTGCAGCTGATGGGAGGATGAAACGTTCGGCTATATCTGTAAAATACGATAAACTCGGTTTACGAGTGAAAGCACCGGGCGATCTCACAGACGTCGAACTAGATGAGGCACTCGATGCATTGATCGCACGCACTCAAACTCAGGAATCTTCGTGTTTGCAGCAACTCGAGCTTATATCCTCTGCGCTCGATAAAATCAGTGTGTCGTCAATCAAACATTGCTCGGTCTTGGACGATGATATTACGAAGAGATCGGAGGAGCTCAAAGACACTATCAGAGAATACTTCCAATCGGATTCTTTAAATAATCACGATATCAATTTTCAAGTATGTTTTTCAATCGTAAAATCAGTTAACAATTTTTGATGTAGAATCAATTAAAATTAAAGATACATTTATCGTTTTACCTTTTTACAGAACAAACTGATGAACGAGCAACAGATTGCAAATGATGTCCGCAGTTTGATAACACGTTATAGGGATACCAAGTTCACAGGTCGTGCCGTAGCTCGTATCTTTCACGGAATACAAAGTCCGAATTATTCTGCACTGATTTGGCACAGATGCCGTTTTTGGAGACTTCATGTCGCTACAGATTTTAACGCAATTTGCAAAATCGCGGCCAGAGAAATTCTAGCGTTACGATAATGGAATCAATTGAATTAACACATTTAATCCGATCTTATTAGTCGAACGCTCAGTTTTAAATCAGAATAAATTTTCATAATCGAAATAAATCAGCGGACGCAAAGGTGTATTTTATCTATGCTATCGAACATGTGTGAGTAAAGATACATATAACCGAATTTATTTCAATATATATTGTAAGAGGCAAAAGTTAATATAATTCTCCGTTTAGGATTGTAATTTGGTCTGGTTGCAGGAAGAAAGCAGAAGCTTTACATAATCATTTATTTTATATTTGTAAATCCTGACTAAAAAAATTTTAATGAAAACTTTTTTACAAGACTGTAATACAAAAAGGAACAATATAAAATTGTTTTTTTTCATATTTGGTATGTTATAACATTCTCGATTCCTAAAAAACTTGCCAAACTTGCAACTCTTAGAAATACATGCGTATATCTTAAGTTTTATACGTTATATGGGGGATACAAAACTTAACATGAAAATAGATTTTAATCGCTCGTCAAATATCACCAAAGAAGAATAAAAATATAACAGCCATAATATATATAATATATGTAACAAGTTATATATAACTGTTGTATATAAAATAATAGTTATTTTATGTAGAACAACTTTTGTAAAGTTTAAAGTAACAAATTATAATTATCGTTATCATTTTAAAATTCCATGACGCTTAGGATATCGCCAGATACGCTTGCTTCGCTCGAGTCACGTCACAACTCTCTTCATGTAGTTGCATTGTCGCAGAAATTTGTGCATTCGAATCTGGTGCATCTTCCCGACACGATTCATGCACGTTTCGTTCTGGCAGAGAGCGCAGAACTCGGCAGAGATGTCGTGGAATGGTGAACGGAAGTACACATTGGCATTTTTCAGGCTCTTGTTCTTGTGGTGTGCCCACACGTGCAGAATGACCTTTAATGCATGAAAGCAGTTATAAAGTGTCAGATTTCATTTGTTTTTACGAAAAAATTTTCAAATTTTCAATATTAATAATACCTCGAAGAGCATCAACAAAGCGAGGAACCAGCGGAAGTAGATGATTGCCGGTAAAAACAAACAGATGGGATTTATCTGACCAAAAGAAGCACCCGCTGGAACTGGCTCCAGCTCCATATGATGGCGTTTTTTCGATGTCTTTTCCTTCACTTCTTTCGGTATCTGTAGATAATTTGTTCATTTTATTCATTGAACGCAAATTCACAGTCAAAGCATATAATTGTGTTATACAATATATGTATCTTATATTTCATTTTGCACATTAGGTAAATTAATTTTATAATAATAAATTTTATATATGTGCGTGTGTGTGTGTGTGTGTGCGTGCGTGCGTGCGTGCGTGCGTGCGTGCGTGCGTGCGTGCGTGTGTGTGTGTGTGTGTGTGTGTGTGTGTGTGTAATTTGTTACATTATATATATATAATTGTATACACATATGTATATATGTATACACTACTGTTGGAAAGTTTCCAGACATTTGCCTTATTTAGTAAAATTGTACATACAAAATGTTTATAAACATTATTTTTTGTAATGTATTCGTGAATTATTATTTTTGTGCTTTTTTTGTGCTCATCATTTGCTATTCATGGAAGAGATATACAATGTGATTACATAGGCAATCAGTTGAGATTGCGATTAGATGTGATTGCGACTACACGCGGCACAAGCTTATTCAAAAAAATTTCTTTCGTATCCGATTCTTAATTGTAGTGTGGCTTCTTAAATTAACTTAATTAACTTTTATTTACGACGATTTATCCATCCAAGTAAGTAAATATAAGAAATTTTTTTATATAAGTATACTCAACTGATTGCTCATGTAATCTCTCAGTTGTATCTCTTTCACGAATAGCAAATGACGAGCAAAAGAGCACAAAAATAACTCACGAATACATTATAAAAAACAATATTTACAAACATTTTGTATACATTTCTGCTAAATAAGGCAAGTGTCCGGGAACTTTCCGACGGCAGTGTATGTATATATACATCAGGCCATATAGGCTTTTTTAAATAAAAAATAAAATTAAATAAAAGTTAAATAAACGTTAACATATTTGGCGATAAAAGCCAGGCGCGATAATTAGTGCGCTATGTAATTTATTATAATCTAGACTCTAGACCAATAAGATTAGCGTACGTTTTGACCCTTTCTTTGGACCATTCTCAGCGTAATATAGTATTATTAAGCTGGCGCTAGACTATGCGCGATTCGTGATTCGCCCATTCGCGCCGATTCGCCAGCGGAGCAGTTTTTTGATGAAATCAAAGAGATGAAATTCATCTCATTAATTTCATGAAAAAACCGCTCTGCTGGCGAATCGGCGCGAATGGCGAATTGCGAGTCACGAACCACAAATCGTGCATAGTCTAGCGCCGGCTTAATAAATTATATAGCGCACTCTAATTACCGCGCCTGGCTCTTACAAACAAATTTGTTAACGTTATTTGATAATTTTATAATATTATTTATATCTACATATATATACATATAGGATGTTTTCAGTGGAAAGTAGCAATAAACCATAAGGTGTAACAATAAAGGTGTCCGCTACTTCAAGAGTAGTACACATCAAAATGATGAAAAAAGTTGCCATTAACATAGGTTTATAAATGACCCCCTACCATGTTACAGACATTACAACTTAAATTTGATTTATTAACGAACAGAATACGCCACAGGTAATCTTTTTCTTCGCCGGTAATATTTAAAGGAGACAGTTTAATTCGGCCCAACTGCTATTTATTAATATATGTATATAATACTCAAATACATAACGTTTCGACCATGATTTGTAGTCCTTATCAAGTAAATTAAGTCATAAATTTTAAGTCATAAAATATGTGGCTATTCTACAAAACATCTTTATTAGAAGAACTGATAATAAAACTCTGATAATTTTTATTATCAGTTTTTCTGATGAAGATGTTTCGTAGACTAGCCACGTTTTAAATTTATGACTTATTGTTAGTTTACGCTTGATAAGAACCATAAACCATGGTCGAAACGTTGTGTATTTAAGTATTATATTAATAAATGGCCAGTTAGGTCGAAATAAACCGTCTCCTTTGAACCAGAATCGTTTTAAGTGTCAGAACAATTACAAAAATTAAAGATGTTCGAAGTTACGTTGCATTGTTTGTATTAATTTAATAATTTTAACAACAAATTTAAGCTCAAAAGTTATAATGCCCATAACTTGGGAGGGATCTCCATAAAGATCATTTCAGGACCTGTGTTGATAGGAACTTTTTTCATCATTTTGATGTGTGACTGCCCATCTTTAAAGTACCGGACATCTTTTTTGTTACACCTTGTATATACATGCGATAGAATAAAAATACAAGGCAAAGTAAAGCTTCAAGTCAGGAATATTTACAAAAATGAGTTTTTTTGGAGAAGGAAACGAATGTTCTTCAATTACCTGAAATGGCACTTTTTTGAGATGACATGTGACCGTGTCGTGATCCATGAGACTGACTTCTGGCTCCCCAGTCTCCGCATCGTTTATCGTCGTCGAATCGGTTGAACGGCAAATATCACAATCGTAGACCGAATGAATCAGATCCTCGCCGGTCTCTTTGTCCACGTACACTCGATCCATATTGATTACTCGTTCGCGCAACTGATGGAAAACACCAGGCGGTATAAAAAAAGAACCTGGTCGTCGGATTCGATCACTAGGTCTTCGGGGTCACACTTCCCGGATGTCCACTCTGTACGTACTCTCTCTCTCTCTCTCTCTCTCTCTCTCTCTCTCTCTCTCTCTGTCTGTTATGCTAATCAGCGAGACGCTCTGGTAGGGAGGAGATTCCTGAACTAGATCGGACGACGGCGGCCTGCAACAGGGATGCTTCGATTTAGCGATAGCCGATTCTGACAGATGAAATTAGCATTTGCACGTAGTGTCGTGAATACGTAGTATAATTATATGCGTGTATCGCTCGAAAACGAAGACATTTCGCAAAGCTGAAGTGCGTGTGTTAACTGATTGCGTTAAGTCGCTGCTGTTTCTTGCATATACATCAGAAATCAAAGCGAGAATATAAATAGCGGTCATGCGTATAGTAACACTCTGGTGAATATATATATATATATATATATATATATATATATATATATATATATTATATAAAGCGTGATAATCGGTAACGAGTCATCTAATTGTTTTCGTTCAGGAAAAATTGCGTCGATATTTCGCTCTCGGTGTTAAAGAACGATTTCCATTTCTTATTACTCGAAGCGATATTTTCGCTCGACGAGACCGCTGGCGACAGGTTGCAGGTTTTTTTTCCTTACGAGATTCCTTACGACTTTTTATATTTGATTACATAAAATTATTCGCGCGAGAACTGAGTCCCGCATTAGCATCGATTATTAATCGTTTCTGCGAAGTTTATGCAACACGTGCATCATCCACATTTCCTGCATACAGCTGCGACAATCTTTTAAAGATATTAAATCATGCAACACATGATTTCACGTTTATCGATAATCTTCGTCTTCTCTTCCTTTTTTCTTTTCTCTTAAATAGAAGAGAATCGCTCTGATATTCCGAATAAAATGAGAGAAATGTATAGCATTAAATCCAGAAATTAAAAAGAACAGAATATACGTATTTATAGAACTTTTCGGGATGGATTTCGATCGTAATTGCAATACTTGCACAGTTTTTTCTTAGAATTTTATTGTGTTTTCTAGGGAAAACGGAATAATTCCGATCGGAATCCATTCTGAATAGTTTCATAATATGTCTATTATATACTTGACTCTAAACTAGTTTGATAATCGAACTTTGGAAAAGCACGTTTCAAGTACGCAAGTGCTCAAGTGTATATTGTCGACAGAAATTATTCCGGAGAGCTATTTTAAATGCAACTGTATAACTTGATTTGCATACCGTGTATTGGATGTTCGTATGTTTTTTTGTATAATATAAATACTTGGATTCAAACTTGAATCGATATGTGACTTTCCATGAAAAAAAGACAAACTCTATAAAAAAATAGAAAAATGTGTTTATACTTAAAATTCTTGAAATAAAATAAACGAATAAAGCAATGAACATTGACGAATATATTCAAATCAACATTGCTTCATATACATATGTAAATAAGAATGTTCTTTTTTTACTTCTATGTAATGAAGATAGAAACTTGGAGCCAACTTTTACGTTTACAAGAAAATGTAAAACGACGAAAAATTCATGACTTGGGTGGCCTTAAACGGCGCAGTAACTGGCATTCGTTCCTTCCACGCGGCACAATTATCAAAGTAATTATGATAGCGCGACGAGTCTTGAATCACAAATCGTCAGTAAAAGAAGCATAAAAAGGATAGGATAACGTCTACCTTATAAATTATACCTCCTTGTCTATTTTTCTTATAAATTGTCTTTCGGAATACTTTGCAAGCATTAAATCACGACCATTAATAATAGCAATTCTAAGCTCATCTAATACTATTAAAAAGTACGATTAAATCAACATACGGAAGCCGATTCACTGTATTATGTCTATGATAAATGTACGTGTCTTTCGTCACGTCCGTAAGTTTTCTGTTCATTTGTAGAAATATGTTGGTGCATTCTTGATCGCTACGCAATAACGCCTCTTATCCGGAATACCTTGATGGAAAGATATCTCAGAACTTTTCATATTATTAATTAGAATTTTTATGAAAATTTTAAAACTTTCTCAGATTTTCTATACGAACTGGAACGTTTTCTATAAAAACTCAGACAAAATAATAATAAAATATTTCAGATTTTTTCCGCCAACAAACCTTTATAGAAATCTGAATAAATACGAGAAAATCCCAGAAATTTTTACACATATAGATATTGAAATAGTTCAAAAATTCTTGTCCAATTATTTCTAAAAGTATCTAAGAAATTTGACATATTTTTTCAGAATTTTTCATAAATCTAAAATATAAAAAATTTTTTTAAAAGGTATGAGAAAATATAAGAAATTTTGCCACCAGTAATATGTAAGATAAAATATATAGGCAGGGCTTTTATATTAATGCATTAAAGGTCAAGACTGTTGGAGTGCATATATCTGAACGAGATATAATAATAAGTCAATACGAGATACGTAAGAAAAACCATACAGATAAAGCTTTTGAAGCTAATCTATATCTGATTTCAAAGTTGAAAAGTAATTAAATAATTGACTTGAAAAATATTGTACACGTATAAAATTTGCAGAATCTTTTTCAAAGAATTTTATTTATTATCACAAAAATACGAAATGCGTGCCGCGCAACAAACGTCGAAATGTTGTTGGAGAAAATATTGAAAGCGTGATATAAGTTACAATTACATCGAGATCGAAATGAGGAATGAGATAAAATCGGAGTGCGCGCGATGCGCGCGATCGAATTGGAACTCACACGCTGCACGATGATATCGTCGCGATAATTAACGTGGCCTTCGCAGTTGAGGCAGCATCGAGCGCGGAATCGATTCGTTATGCAAATTCACTTGTCGCTCAATTGTGCCGAGTCGGATGATGCCATAAATTCAGTGTGCGGCTACCGGGATGAGGGCTGCTGGAGGATGGCGCCGCCGGGCTCACCGCAGAGGATTGCGCAACGATGCGCGATGTTTAATCAACGGGCTCGCACGCGCAATTTATATCGTACCGCACATCTTCGAGAGCCCATGAGTCAACATCAGGATAGAGCGAGCGACCGCAAACAACTGCGACGTCCAATTACGACGAACTGCGATCTACGGACTGCGAATACTGCGATACGAGCGGCTGGCTGATTCGGAATATTTCGGAGCAGCGTTGGGAGATACTAGGACATGCGCAGTAAAGCAAGCACCAGCCGCCATTAGGCCTCACTCTTTGGTGAACAAAATTTCTCATATTTTATCAGAAATTTTCTAAAAATTCTGATTTATGAGAAATATTTTTATAGAAATAATTGGAGAGTTTTCAGAATATTTTAGTATCCGTATATATGAAAATTTCTGATAAATTGCGCAGATTTTCTCATATTTATTCAGATTTCTATAAAGATGTGTTGGCGGGAAAATTCTGAAATATTTTATTATTTTAATTGTTTGAGTTTTTCTGAAAAATTCTGATCATTCTGTGAAAGTCTTAAAATTTTAATGAAAATTCTGATTCATAATATGAAAAATTCTGAGACATTTTTTCACCAGAGCAATCATGTATATATTTTATATATTGTAAGATATATTACAGAACCTTCAGAGAAAAGGAATAAAAAATGGTAAAAAATGAAAAAAACTATTGGTAGGAATATTTATATGAAAAAAAGTAAAAAGTAAACAAACGTAAAAATTGATTTTAATCCTTTGTTGCATATACATATAGTGTTCCTATATGACAGTATATGAGAACATCTGTTTCTTTTTGTATTTTTACAAAATTACATTTTCAAATATGATTTGTGTAACATATATTCGGTATCGTTATGTTCCTATAAGACTTAAAATTATATGTGTACATGAATAACATAAATATGTAATTATTTTTCCGTTTTTAGCCCTACTACTGATAATTTTTAAAAATTCATGTATCACTTCTAAAATAAAATTTTATTACAATCGGAATTTGACATTTTTCAAAAGATTCTCTGGTAATAATTTTGAAAAATACTTATATTTTTAAATTATATTTAAAGTATTTATATTTAAAACTCCTGAAAAGAGTGAAACTTTTTCATTAAAAAGTAGCAAAAATTTCCTCGATATTGGATATCCGCCATTTTATATTCTAAAAATCAAAAACCTAAAAAACCCTTAGATATAAAATTTTATACATAAATATAAGCTACAGTTATATAATTTCTTTCCAATTTGGATGCTATATTAATTAAATCCGCCATTTTAATTTATTAAATTTTGATTTTAGATTTGCAAAAAAATTAGCAACTCCAAAAACATTCCATTGCATGTTTTAAATTTCAGCAAAAAGTTAAACCCAAAAATTTGTGCAACAAAGGGTTAATATTAAATATATTAATTAATATATTATATTATATATTACAATAATATTTCCCTCGATTCCCCGATTAATTCGGAGTAACACAGGATGGGAACCACAGGTGCAGACAATAATTCTCTGCGCTTAATTATGAATGATCGCGCCAGCTGGTAGCTCCGTTTTTTTTTACCTATCCACGCGAGTTTGGATTTCCTACTGGTTCTAAAGCAATATTCATAGTCCGATTTTATATTTAAGATCAATTAAGAATGGCATCCGATTGTTCATATCGCCAACGGATACAGAGTTAATTCTATCGAAGTTTGTAATATCTCCTCTTGTAGGACACGTAGAGAAAAAATAAAAACACTTTTATTCTATAATTCAAACTCAAACTATATAATATATGAGCCTACTCGGAACTTGATCGGTTCAGCCGTTATTATTGAGATCCGATAATCTCGGGTACTCGCAACTCGCAACTCTCCGGCTCGTGTAAAGATACACGGGGTGTAAGTATATTTGAAGCACTACCGCGTCTCGATATAAAAATTTCTGATTGGTCCATTAGTAAAACTCCAAGCACCGGAGTCGCTGCGAGTGGCTGTCAATCGCGACGACGATCTTCGGCTGGGTTCAGCAAAAGAAAAGCGGCTCGATAAGCGCTCAGCGATTCTTCATTGCTCTCTACACTTAGATCCAGTTGAGAACTAAAGGAAAGAACCAATCGTAATAAAGAATCAGAGTTTTATAATGACTTTAATACTTTATTTTGTGCGTTTCCGATGCGCATGCGCAAGAACAAGCTGTCCCGCCAGTAGCGTAGCACCCAGCACCCACCGTCTCAGAGTGAGAGGTCGGAGTCGTCGCCGTCGGACTGTCGGAGTTGTTCGGAGTCTCTGACGTGCGTAGTGTGCGGCGTGCGGTATGCGATAGTGTGGGGTGTAGAGTGTGCTCTCGGAGCTCGTGTGTATGCACACGCGTAATAAAAATGTCGGTTTATAGTTGATAATTGTTCTGATAACGCTAAACATGATGGATTATGAATTTAAGATGAAGACGCAGAAAGACCGCACGAAGGTCGAGGATCTGTTCGAGTTCGAGGGTTGCAAGGTCGGGAGGGGTACTTACGGGCACGTATACAAAGCCCGTAGGAAAGAAGGGTTAGTCTCCCTAACCTGACTTTTGATCACTCTGCGAAACCTCCTACATCCTATTCATCTCGATTGATTTCCGTTTAATAGTTCAATCGGTTTCCTCAGATTAATACGAGATATCGGTTCGCGTTCTCCGAAGCGCCTCCGTATCTACATTGGAGTTGATTGGAGTCGAATTTTCTTCCGTGTAAAAGCACCTGCTGTCCTTACTCTATCGATCGTCTTTTATTCAAGATTTCTCGAATGCGAGAGAATATATGTATATATTTACTGTTTACCTTGCCCGAGCTTGCGTTTAGCGTTCAATGCGGTTGTCTGATTCTTGATTTAGCTCATCCCATTTGCCTAATATAAAGATTGTCGTCAATGCAATCGCTAATTTTCAACTTATGTGCTGCATTAAAGTTTTAAATGGGTAATGCAAACACATAAACGTAAACCAACATTGTTTTGATCCATAATCCGCATCCATAATCTTTTTCTTGAAATATTTAAACAATATCTGATTATTGCCTCTTTATATATATCTGCCTATATCAATTATTCCATTTCTACCAATGGAGGTTAATTTTAATCTCGGTTTAACTTACTTTTTTCTAGTTGTAAGAATTAGAAAAAAAGTAACCCAGTAAGAAAAATGATAGCAGTTTGTCGGCACATTGATAATAGATTTGATCAGACATATCGGCGGACTGATATGAATTGTATCCGCATTCAGCTTATGTTCTGCCAGCAGAGTCTGCTAACATAATCAGGCAGCAGAGAACAGCTCACAGAGCCTGAACGATTCCAACAGGATCTGTTCGATTTCTGCCGCTGTCTGATTATGTTAGCAGACTTTGTTATACTTCTGTTGGCGTTCTGCCGACATCATATGATATATCAGACAGACTTAGTTGCTGGGTAAGTTAAACCGAGATTAAAGTTAATCCGCATTAGTAGAAATGAACATTAATCCAATTTGGATATCTGAACTGGTTAAATCAATTGCATTGTGATTTTTAATGTTGGGAACAGGGTTTCAGATAGCGAACTAAAGTCTCGGCCTGATACAAAAGACTTTGGCCTTAAGCAAATTGAGGGTACAGGACTTTCGATGTCTGCATGTCGAGAAATTGCTGTGAGTTGCTACATTGCTCTTAAACGATGCAAGAAACGTTCATCCCCAAGGTATAACGGGGAAATTTGATTTATTTTCTTCTATTCCAGTTACTCAGGGAACTAAAGCATGTCAATGTCATTACCCTTATTCGTGTCTTTCTCTCTCATAACGACCGTAAAGTTTGGTTGCTGTTTGACTTCGCTGAGCATGATCTATGGGTATGTTTATAATTCCAATTGAAAAACAAAATATTTTTGGGCATTAAGATATCTTATATAATAATGCTTGAATATGTTACTTGCAGCATATAATAAAATTTCATAGAGCGGCGAAAGCTAATAAGAAACCAGTAATGGTACCAAAAGGCATGGTCAAATCCTTATTATATCAAATTTTAGATGGTATTCATTATTTACATTCCAATTGGGTACTTCATAGAGATTTGGTAATTGTTGTAGGCATTATTAGACGTTTCCATCTTTTTACTACATTTTTATTACGTTTACAGATCGTGCAATAAGATGTCACTTTTCTTTATTTCAGAAACCAGCAAATATTTTAGTAATGGGGGAAGGAAATGAGCGGGGACGTGTGAAAATTGCCGACATGGGCTTTGCTAGGTTATTTAATGCTCCTCTCAAACCTTTAGCAGATTTAGATCCCGTTGTAGTTACATTTTGGTATAGAGCTCCGGAATTACTTCTAGGTGCCAGACATTACACGAAAGCTATAGGTCCGTCTATATTTATATTTTACCACACATTTCTAGTAATAAACATTGTTCTTGTACAAAATTGTACTAAATATTTTATTCTGTCTGCTGCAGATATATGGGCTATCGGCTGCATATTCGCGGAACTTTTAACATCCGAACCTATATTTCATTGTAGACAAGAAGATATTAAAACTAGTAATCCATACCATCATGATCAGCTAGATAGGTGAGAATTAAACACAATTTTACATTTGCTTTGTATACTACGGATAATAATGTAAACTAACTTTTATTTAGGATATTCAATGTGATGGGATTCCCATTGGAAAAAGATTGGGAGGATATCAAAAAGATGCCAGAGCATCCCACATTACTTAGAGATTTTAAAAGATCCAAGTGAGTTTGTCAGCTTAAAACACAACTTGATCGATATTATTAATTCTTTTACTTTTTCAGTTATGCAAATTGTTCACTTACTAAATATATGGACCGGCATAAGATCAAACCTGATAGCAAGGCATTTAATTTGGTATGTCGCATGAAAAAAGGAATATACGAATTTAGTAGCATGTCGGATAAACAAATGATTCTTATATATTGTGCTTACTGTTTTTAGTTACAAAAACTACTGATGATGGATCCAAACAAGCGTATTACATCAGAGCATTCTATGCAGGATGCCTACTTCCAAGAGGAGCCACTGCCAACACAGGAGTATGGATCTATTTCTATATTTTTACACATCGCAATAATTTATATATATATATATTTTTTCCCAATAATCTTGCTAAATTGAATTTAACGTGAAAATCTCAGCATATTTGCCGGGTGCCCTATCCCTTATCCCAAGAGAGAATTCCTTACGGATGATGATACTGAAGAAAAGACTGAAAACAAAGCGAGGCAAAATCAGCAACAAACGGTAATTACCTCCGAGATCTATTGAGAGCATTTATTATGATATACTTTATATGGTTTAAGCCGCAACTACTATAATAAGATAACCACTTTAATACACAGACATAGTTTGTAATATCCAAATAAGTATCTATTTATAATTATATATCTTCTATATTAAAAAAAAAATATATGATTTCGATTGTTCAAACGGCCCCGTATGACCGCCGCAGTGGCAAGGCGAGTGAAGCCCACTTTGCCGCTGTCTAAGCTCCGTCGCTATATGGTAGTTGAGGATTGAACTGATTTTTTGAACGTCGCCTTGTCGCTCATCCGAGTATTCGTGAAACAGCAACAGCAGAACCAACAGCAGCAAGGTAATGGCGATCACAATCACGGGCAGAACGCGAAACGGGTGAGGTTGAACGGGCCGCATGGTGCTCCTGAGTTCCATCAGCACCAGAGCCACGCGATGACCCATCAGCAACCACCGGGGATGGTTTATTCGACGGCCCAGCCGACGCAACCGTCGAACTTCCATCAACGTTTCTAATTTTGTGACTCGTAATTAGACCGATCAGAGAATCAGGCCGAAACTTAAACTGTCACTAAATGCATTAATTTAATTCACTAATCCTGTCAAGCAAAGCGGTCAGTCCGTGTATATTCCGTACAAGTATGATAATACAACTTTATTTATATATATATACATGCGGAAGATCATTTTCCATTTTGCGTCTGCTTTCACTTCCGTTTTCACATCCATCCTCTGTTTTCATTTTTACCAATGATATCCCTTATATTATATACACCAATGTCTTCCCTGGGAAGGTCTCGATCGTAAGAGCACCGACGATGGTTGCGAGGACGGGAAAGGTGGCACAGCGGACAGCGGAGAAACGAAAGGAAGGGCTCGATCACGCGTGGGGCGTAGGGAGAGGGAAAGCGATCGGAGTCGGGTGTCGATTAAACGGCGGAGGGGGATCTATCGCGCACGCGCTCGACGCGAATCGCGCGTGCGATTGCGACAGGACGTTCGCGTCGTCGCGGGCTCCTGAAACGCAGTTTCCGCGAATCGCTGCTCGGTGAAAAAAGTGCGTACACGCGTGCCGCTCCGATGTTGGTCGGGATGTCAGGCGGTGCGCCGTCGGCCCGGGAGTCATTGCGTTGATCCGATGAGAGAGCGAGGCAGGTGAGGGCTCTAATCGCGTTTTTTCTACATTTGCACGATGCATCAGCAGGATCGTTTTTTTTTTAATTCATTGATTATTACAGACACTTTGTCTAGAAACATTTTAGCAAATCTAGCAAACATTTTAAAAACCTGAAAAAGGTTTACAAAATATTCCGAAACAGATTTTAAAAGCAAACATTAAAAGTAACCATTTAATTAATTGTTTAAAATACGTAATGTTATATCTTCATTTATTGCATGTGTAATTAAATTGTTATTACATCGAATAATTTAATATAATTGTTATTACATTGAAAGAGCAATAATATCTAGATCTTAAAATTATAAAAAAATTTCACCAAACAACAGATTCTTTTCTTGCACGATCATGATTTTAAAACGCAAATAATTAAGAACGAGAGCAAGAGATTTATTTATATCGGTATGCCAATCTCACGTCTTATGTCTCAGGAAAATGAATTTTTTAAGAGCCAAATCAAACTATTTTCAACAGTGTGAGTAATCATATTTAACGGACATGCCAGTAATACAGACCGTACATTCATATTCTCGACGCGCTTGTTCAACGTTAAATGTCTCGTCTTCATCTTCGAATGTACAGCCTTCAGATATCAAGTAAAGTAGGGCACAGCGTCATGTCGAATACATATTTTCGGTTAAAAACAACGGGGGAGTACGGAGAAAAGAGAAAACCTGCTGCGCGATTGAACCGTGTGCGATTCTCGCCGCGTAGTGACTTCAATGCCTCTTCACCCGCACAGGTGATGTTTTCTCGCGCGTTCGCGTTTTCGGACTTTCGCGTTTCTCGCGACGTGGAGGACAGTTCGTTAGAAGAAAGATCGTCGAATGTTTGTGCCATGGTCGCACAGGTGCGGCTTCACCAAGCGATAAGCGATTAGTGCCGCTGGCATGGTGTGCCTGGCACTGTGATCCGTGAACAGGGCCGCTTTAGGCCACTTCGATAGATTTTGATCCAATGGAGCTGCGACTTACAAGTGGAGAACACCGTGTTAAAATAGATATGCGTTTGTTTGAAATATATATATAACATGCAATGATACTGCAGATATTTAATTATTAAGTGCAAGAGGCCGCGATAAAATAACTTTCACATTACATTGCGCTCTGTGTTACGCCATAAATCTCATTTAACGTGCCGTTTAAATCGTTCTGTTTGACGTCAAAATAATGGATATTAGATTATTTTAATAACAGCGTAGAAGTATATACACGTCTTTCATGTGTTTCTGCGCAATTGAGTGCAGGTTTTAACTGATATCGGCGTAGACCGTATTGGATTATATCAGAATATGCAAATCATATTTGTCATTATCTATTATGTTATATTAAAATATTGATACATATGCGCGGAGAGAGTATTATTTTACTTCTATTATTATGTAACAATACATATCGTTTCCGAATTCAGTGCAATGTCTTGGTGAAACCGGCCCTGATGTTACTCGGTAAACAAATGTGGCATTTAGAAACGGCGAGTGTGCGCCGCGCGATAATCATGCTCTCGATTGCAAAGCATGGAGGAAATGTATCGGTTGGAAATATCGGCCTGATCTCATCCAATCTTTTATTTTGCCTTCAGAGAAAGAGCGAGAAAGAGAGCCCGTTGGGTCGAGGGAATTAAATCGCGCAAGCGGAATGTAAAACGCGACGGAAAAACGCCGGGAGCTTAATGCTACGCCCTATAAACACATCAGAAATCTCAAGGAATTAACCCAGAACAGTAATTGCTTGCCCCCTTCCACATGTTATAGCTAGCTTTAGCTATAATAGAAATATAGGAAAAAATTACGTAGCATATGCTTAAGCTTGACTTTAAGACGAAATAAATGCAATGAATTTGCCTTTTTAACAAAATATGACATTCTATCTAGCTATCTTTTCATAGCGTAAAAGGTCAACATTCACTAATTTTGTATTCGTAAAATACGACTGTAGGATCTTTTATGGATCGAGTCTTTTATAATTGCCAATAATTATGATGGATTTATGACGGAGAAGTATTATAATAGAATTATGATGGAGCAAAGTATGAAGACCAAAAGAATACAAAAATTTGCAGTAATAAAATTACATCGTATCTTCGACGTTAGAGGTGGAAACAATTTCAGTTTCCGAAACTTGAATTTACAATTTTACTATAGTTTACCTGTTCCAAATTATATTTCCTTGTAAAGCGCAAGATCTGAAATTTTTAACCACAAAAACAAAATTTTTATTTTTTATCGAGATTTATCCTGATAACTTTAACGATTTTTGAAAAAGTACAGTCGCGCTCTCTTAAACTAACTAAGTCTAAACTAAATTAAGTTAATTTTTAAACAAAATTGAACTAAATTAAATTACCCTTAATCCTGAGTAATCGCAATTATTAAATGATGCATTAAATGGTCATGAAAGAGATCATTAAGAAGATTTTCTACTTGTCGTTGTTGCGTGTCGGATCGCGGATCATTTGCATGTCAGCGTTCGTCAATTGCTCGCTCAGCATCCACGTTTAATGACATACAATTATGGAATGGCGGAGAATTTCTTCCCTCCCGCCGTGTGATATATATTACTCAGCATCGCGAGAGTGATTCGCGTATCGGCATGCGCGATCACGATCGGTATCTCAATCAAACGCGCCGATGGTTTGAGTGAACAAACGTATAATAATCGAAATCCGAGTGATAACAGCTTAAATAAACAGCTTTATACCAGTCCGCAATTGCTTCATTTTTTTACTGTCAAAGAAATACCGTAGATATGGATGTAAAAGTGAAGGGGGAGGGGGGCGATCCTGACCACTATCCCCAATCGGTAGAGGCCATGACCACGTTGCGACAAGGTGACCACAATCAAACTGCGCTGATGAAGAATCGTTTGATTTGCATCGCCTCCGGTTTTCTTAATAATTAATAATTATTACGAATTTAGATTAAAATACAAAAGTTAAGATCTATAAAGTTGGGAAGAAATTGATGAGAAAATTAAATAAAAACTTTTCCTTTTTATTAATCGCTCTGTACTGTTGAATATTAAAGAATAAAATGTAAACCAATACTTTTTTTTTTTTAGTTAGATAACATTTTGTTAACTATCATGTGTGTCGAAATTTATTATTTTAACAAAACATTATTTATTATTTTAACTCTATTGGTTTATTTAAATTAACATTATTTTTAAATTAACAACATACTGAGTAGAAGCAGCGACTTACTACACTATTAAATTGGAAGTTAAATTCTACTCAATTTGAGTCATTTTTAATCATTTCTATTGCCACTACTTCTATTCAGTATATCATGAAGTTAAAATAATACTATTTTGTTTTAAAATAAATTTCGACACACATGGCAATTAAAAATATCAAAATGTTATCTACCTCAAGGTATTAGTTAAAATTTCATTCTTTAATATTTATAGTGTAGGAATATAGAAATGGTTAAAAATGATTCAAATAAAGTATAATTTGACACTATGAATTTAACAGTGTAGTCTTTCTCTATCTTTGAGAATTACTATTTTACTAGAGACACATTAACAAACACTATGAATCAATTTGCAATCTGATTATTATTGTTATTTTTAAAGATTGAAAGGCGTTTTGACGCGTCGTGTTTATTCCAAGTGATCTTTCGCGACCGACTGGTTCAATCACCGGGATCGCTTAATATGCGACTCCGGCTGCGCGCTCGAAGGACGTAAACGGCGAACAGGACGCGCAAAATCGTCGTCGAATGCAAATGATCTCGAGTTCGCCGAAGCCGCCGCCACGTGCGCGATGAAAAATACTAACGATCTAGTATGCCCGGTCGCGCGCCCGGATCACGCATTTCATTTCGCTCCGGGCAAGGACGGATCGCGTTATGCCATCGCGTCGGCTTTCACGTCGGCTTTCGAGAAACGTGACGATATACTTTCGAACGAACGAGATATGCTCGTCGCTCGGACGCATACTTCACCTTAATTTTCCCAGCAAACGATTGGCAAATTGTTTATATTTATAATCACGTTTCTCGGATTCTCGAGGATCGTCATCTCCCCTTCTTCTTTCGCGCAACTTCGTCGAGCTTGAGCACGTGGGACGACCTGTTGCACTGCCGGTGCATCAGCCGTTCCCTGCTTACTGCGACTGATTTGTCTCAATCATCCGCGCAAATTGTGTCTCACAAAATAGATTCAGTGCCAAGAGTGAAATATAGAGATCGCGTGCTCTAACGATTAATTTTATTCAGTTTATCTCGATACAATATTCTTTACAATCGTTTTATTTCTTATACATTTTATACATTACTTATCGCACTATCGTGTATAGTAAAATACATAAAATAAGACGTAGTTGAAAATAAGAAGCTTTTCATGCTTTAAGGCTCCTGGGTAGTCACCGCGGCCATATTGGATTCTTACTATCGAGGCGAGGAAAACATCCAATTTTGTTGTGCATGCCATTTTCAAATAAAAAGACATTTCAATAAAACATCACTATAGATCGTTTCAGAACACTTCCAAAATTGGCCGAAAACTACCCTTTTCCCTCGACAATGAACAAACAGCCATAAAACGAAGCTTAAACATACGGGAAAAACAGCTGTTTAACGACTATCGAAAGGAGGTGAAAACGTTCCTTCCGCATGCAAATCTTACTTTTCGGCCAATTTTACGACTTTCACGAATACGTTAAACGTTAGAGCACAAGCACAGAGCAAATAATAAAGAAATAGCACGCACAACAAAATAGGTTGTCAACATGTCACAAGACAGAATTCTCCATTGGAGAGAGTGAGAGGAGAGAGTGGCGGCGCCACCGTCAACGCAGAGTTCTCGGCTCAGGGAGGAGCCTTAACATGAGATATTGAAAAGGTCAGAAAATCTTATCCGTCATTTCGTGATCGCTTTTAATGCGTCGTCGAAACTAGCACAACTTTAAACCTTCGGCTCTCCCAAACTCAACGCGAGGTCAAGGCCATCCCATAAGAGGTTTCGAGTGGCCCAGG